GTTTTCTTCTGCGGAGAGGAGGCTGCTCCATCAATACAGAATCTGCAAGCACATTCAGCGTTGCTTCGACATTGGTTAGCACAGATTGCAGAGGTGTACTATCACCACCTCCGCCTATGCTGTTCAAAGCAGACTCCACATTTTCTGACCAGGCAATCTGAGCTGAAAGGACAACAAGCTGGGCCTAGAGAATTTTTTTAAAAAAATAAAATAAAATTAAGTGTTATCGGATATTTTGGCTTCCTTTCTCTCAAAGCATTTTATCTTATTATAATGCTGAAAACAGAATAAAAAAACAATACCTGATATTTGTCAATCCATGAGATGTAGGTAGCTGGATCAATTGAAGTTGCTTTGCCAAAGATCTCAATTTCTGTTTCAGACTCGGCAAGGAGTTTGGCAAGTGTTACCCTCATTTCTTTTTCCACAAGTGTAAGCCACTCATTGATCTTGGGATGCTCAGTGATTGACACAGGAGTTTTGAATATCACCTGGAAACAGAATTGTTAAGTTTGTTATTGTTTTTAAGAGAAAAAAACGTTTTATGCCACCTGATCCAGAAAACACATTTATACCTCTTCTCCCTCACGTGATGATATTCCCAGAACAACAGAGCTGTCTTCATTGAGGATAATGCTCGACACACCAGCAAACATCTTCTTGAAATGTTTCTGCAGTTTGGCTACATTTTTGCTGTTTCCAATGATTTCAAGCAAATCTTCATCCCCAACAAAATAGAACCTAAAAAATAAAGTTCAGTATTTCAATAAATCCGCACATCAGAACAATGAAGCCATCTGTGATTTTTCTTTGCAAATTGATCAATCAAAGAAAAAGAAAAACTTAAACTGTTGCTTACTGAATTTAGAAGTTATTTACACTTACAGTATGTAGATGGACAATTAATTCTAAACTAAATTGCTTACCGAGGGAAAGAAGCTCTCTCTCTCTCCAGATATTCTCCCAAAGCTTTTTGGATCTTTCCAAGCAAGTCTGCTAATCTTTCCAGGGATCTCTGTACCCCCTGAATATTCAGAACATCCATCACCAAGGGAGATTTTGATACCTTTTTCATGAGAGCCAGAAATTCTGTGCTGATGCTGAAAAGTCAAGAGGAGAGAATGCTGATGCACGAGAGAGATAATATCTTCCACTTTATTTACTTATATTTTTATATTGCTGAATCTGTCAAGGACTCAGAATATTTAACAAATGATCATCATGATATAATATAAATTAAGCCACCTACAGTAAGTAAACTAAAATTAAAATAATTGGATCTAAAAATGCAGGCAGTCTTACCAATAGGGACTGTCAACTCTGTTGCTAAGCAGTGTGGTCATTAAATGTGATGTCAAGTGACTGCACTAACTACCTCGGTTCAGGTTGCGGTCATTAAGTGTGATGTCACATGACCGCAATTTGAAACTTCCTGCAGGCTTCCCCGTTGATTTTGCTTGGTGAAGCCTGCTCTGAAGGTCGCAAATGGTGATCACATGACCCAGAGATACTGCAACCATCATAAATGTAGAGTGGTTGCCAAGTGCCTAAATTGGGATCATGTGAGCTATAAATCTCTATTTTCATCATACGTTCAGTCACTGAATGAGTTTTCGATAAGTGAGGACTACCCGTTGTTACATAAACCTGATTGAACACTAACAACTGATAACTGATTTAAGGAGAGGCTGGTCTATAGAAATTAGCACATAATCAAAAAAACAGGATCCCCTGATATCATAGATGCCAGGAACAACCAGTAGCCTCTTCTGGGATAATTCCACAGAAGTCTTACAGGATTATATAGGATGATGAAAATACAATTCTGCAAATACCTAGGTATCAAGACACTTAGGATTTTATAGCTCAAAGTCAGAATTTTCAACTGCACTCAGAAACGTATTGGTAGCTAAGACAGGTTCTACAATACCAGTGTTATATATATTCCTGTAGTCAACACCAGGAACCATTTTATACCAGTTCCAGTTTCCAAGTGGACTTTACAGGGAACTATGTAGAGATCATTGCAATGGTGATATAATTACTAACGTTGAACTGTTCCCTAAAAATTCCAAAACTAAATACAATATTAACCTTCTCATAATTACATCCAAAATTGGGGTCAAAACATTACCTTTGGAACCTCTGGGTTTCAACTGGCAGCAGATGTTTGATATCAGCACTACCTGTGAAGATGCCTTCCAAGTAAACCCATCGCCTCTGGACATCAATCCAGACATCAAACAGTGCCATAATTCGATTCAGTTTGTCTTCCCAGCTAAGAGCATCTTCTTCAAATACCTAAAATAAATAATAAGCTTCAATTATTGAAATAAATTCACAGTAGGTTGAAACTACTAATTAAGGCATCTATTAATTTATGAGTCACAATAAAACAATTATTCAGTAAAAGTATTGATTGTATTTCCATAAAGACCACAATGTGATATACAATAAAATATAATAAACAAATGTTAAAACTTTTAAAACGTTTATTCAAGCCAGAAATTAGAATGTTAACAGCCAAAATAATTTAATTGTTTTTTAAAATATGCAGTGCTTTTGCTACATTTTTATTAAACAGGCTCTGCAAATGATGGTGTTTCTCAAAAAGGCTTCTTACAAATCTTAAAAACCAGGCAGACTAGTGACACAAGCAGATATTCAGATAGCTGGGCAATAAAACCATCCATGCTGTGAACTGTGATTGGAAACAATTGTCTGTCATTCCTGTGAGTAGCCTAGCTGCCACATTTTACTGCTATTGGGTCCTCCGGATATTCTGCCGATGATCATAATTTATAGATAGTTTTGTATAGAACCTTGCACATTGTGGTTATGCTTGTTAAACTTTTTCAAGAATAAACTGAAGCATGGTTTAACCATATACTATTCAAAAATACTGCAATACAGAAAAGATAAAATAAATGGAGATAGTCATTACCTTGTAGTATGGAGAAAGCTTCATTGCAGATACACTATTGATGTGCTCTTTGACCTTGTTGAAGAGGTCATCCCAACCACGAATCAAACGGCATTTGTTTTGATAGTTAACCAAGTCCAACTCATAGGTATTCCATACTTCACGTATCTTTAAACAAAGGAAGTAACAATGAGATCTAAAGCTTACGGTAGTAAAGACGATGAAACGTCTGTTCAAAATCTTGTTACAAAGTACAATCAATTCGTATTTTTGTTAAAATCACTAGAATATAAATTGGAAAATCTATGAAATGACATAGATATTAAAAATGAATTGCTACCTGTTTCAAGAATTCTTCCAGTGCCATCTCTCCTTGTGCCACAAGTAGCACATCCTTCACAATCAATTCATTCTTCTGCAAGTCAACATCCCAAATCTGCCCCAGAGTTAGTTCAGAAACTACCCAATTGACATGTAGCCTCTTCATCAGTTGTTTCCAGTGACGATCTTTAAGAGCTTCTGACTTTAGCTCAATCACCAACATATTTATCTGGAAGGAAAAAACAAAGTATAAAATTGTTCTTTTAAAATCAACGTACTGCTATATTCAAATAGTTTTCAAAAGCAAACTTACCTTCATGTAACCCTTCAGAAGTCTCTGAACATATTCATAGGATGCATACTGACGTAGCCGAGCAGGAAAATTTTTCAGCTGGTTTAATAAGCCATCTAAACTTTGTCGAAGCTGTCGAAACAAGAACAATTTGGAAAAATTGTAAATCTTGAAGTCTATTGATCTATGAATGTTAATATATGCTTTATTACATACTTATTAACATATTTTAAACTAAAGGAATCCTTTATTTGAGATGCTGACCAGCTGTATACTTATTATGGCTTGTAAATATAAATGATGATATTAATTCACTGTAAAATTTCTTGGCCTTATTCGGTCTTTATTCTAACCCTATTTATATGATTGTTATCTAGTAGTGTCAAACTGATAGAAAGTAGATATACCAAACCAATTTTCCAAATCTACTCTGGAGTCTTGGGGGACTTCTTTGCAAGACTAGGGTACACTAAAGTTGTAGCTCAAAGAGCCTCTAAAATTGCATCTGTTTTTCCCCCCTTAGTTAAAATTAACTCAAAGTCATCCAGTTCCAATCTTTTTGAAAAGAAGTAGCTGATGTCTTATCTAAAATACAAACCAATAAAATAAAGGTGATAATACTCTTGTAATATACTATATATAATAGCAAAATAATGAAAGAAAACTTATCTTAAAAAAATCTAGATACCTGTAATTTATTACATTTCATAAAGCAGCTCTTCACTTTTTTAAACCACTTTTTCCCCTCTGGAAATAGTGTCACTTCTATTTTTTTGTTTTATTTATTTCATTTAACAAATTTACTACAACCATTCAACTACCAAAGAACTCTGGGAAGATGGATGAACATAACCAAACTATAGGAATTCAATTGAAAAGAAACTGTGTCAAGACCCCTAAAAATAACATTATCAACACATCAAACAAAACCACATCCTTCAATGTCCTGGCCCAGCTTCTGCTTGTTTAAACATTATTTTGACATGGGTATGCCACATTTCATCCAATGATCAGAATAGTTTGTACAAACTATTGTACTCTTAAAAATGGAAAATAAAACAATAGGCAATAAACAATGTAGTAAAAGTTAATCCAAGGGTTGTAACACCAAATTGGATGCAATGTTCAAATACCCTTCCCAACTACTATTCATATGAAGTATATATAATGCTATGTTGAAAAAGTCAATTTTGATGGAAGTAAGAGCTTAAAACAAACTAGTATGGAGATATGCAGTATCAGTCATCAATGGGTTATCTCCAGAGGTTCTTAGTTTCTAATATGGTTCAATAATGGAAGCATAGTGATTGAAGTTCAGTGATTCATCCTTGTGGACTCTCAGTGGGCATAACTAAAGTTCCTAGGCCTCTCATTAAGAGATTATCCCATTTGTGCTAATGAGTGTTTTCCCACACATCTGAAAAAAAGAGTTTTAATTTCTACATTGTAAGAGTTAGGGGCATAATATATTACATAGTTAAGAATGAGTGACACCCCCTACCCCCAGTTCTACATTCACATGAATAGCTGAAGTAATACCTTTCTGGGTTGTACAGAAACCCAAGGCTGTTCTTTCATTTGATCAATCTGTTCCCAAACTTTTGAAAGCTCAGACCAGACTCCTTTAAGGTCCTGTAGCTCTTCTAAGGCAACCTGTGATGCAAAAAAGGTAAAAATATGAATACATTAAATATGCATAGATACAGCGATAAAATATGTGATTTCTGGAGAATCACTGTAATTATAGTGGGAGATATGTGTATATGTGTTCCAATTCTTAGAATTCAAACTGTGTTTTTTCTTACTTGGACACGTTCTTCACTGCCACTGAGAAGTCCTGTATCTGTTAGCTCCAGAGCTTCTTTGGCCTTTGCACATTTTTCACGGTCATCTTTTAACCTTCCAAATTTTCCTTCATAGATGGTAAGTGCTTGGAGAGCCTCCTCTGGACGTAGGTTGCCCTTAAGAAAGGAGTTATGAAACTTTAATATAAAGTTTAAAATATGTTATTTTAGAAGTCACTATTACATAATTTGACCCTGGAACTTTCTATCATATTTTAGCTTTATAGCTGCTATAAAACACCCTTAACTAATTTTGAGATATACCTTATGTATTCTGTGGATACTATTAAGTATTGTGGAATTCTACTCAGGGAACCTGGTGTGTGTTTGAAACATGTATATTTCTCAAACAGTAAGAACACCATATTAGGTCTATTGTTTCAATCACTGTGTTCGACCAGAGCACCAAAATTAATTATAGGTTTGTGATATGATCAAGGAGAGTCACCAAAACAATATTAAAGCCATGCAAATATATGGAGTGAAAATAATAAATAGATCTTCAAATGGATGTTCAAGCCAAAAGATAAAATGTACTGGTTGAATTAATGGAAACTTACTGTTACAGGCTTTGTTTTCTCCCAGTCTGTCAATAAGTCCACTGTGCGGGTTTCTACAGCT